ACAAAAGTGAGTTAAATATTTTTAATTTTATTTATCTTGTGTATATGTGATCTCACACTCATACATTTAATTTAAGTTTAAGAGTTGCATACAAGTATACGTGATCACTAAAAACACATCCACAAATGAATACGTGTACAAAGAAGCCTGGTGTCAGAGATGGGATTCTCCAAAAATAATTCAAGGATGGACGAGTGGATTTAAGGGTGTCGATGATTTTATTAAGGAAAGTTATAAAATATGAAAACAAAATTATTGAATGAATTCCCTTTGATAGATTATATGATATTAAAAAAGTTGGTGTTGGTGTAGGTGGATTTAGTTCAATATTTTCAGCAAAATGGTCAGTTTGCAAAAGGTCGATTTCAGGCCACGATTATAGATATTCACAAAGCCGTGTTTCATCATACATAGTCGCACTCAAGACGTTGCATAGTTCTAGAGAAAAAGAAGTAAGTTAAGACTATTTAATGATTCTTATTTTATTTGCACAAGTTTAAAAATTATATGCATTATATAATAGAAAGTAACGGGTTCAATGGGTTAGAGGCAGTGAATAAAATTCAAAGTCAAAATTTGGTGCGTGTTGCGCGCCAAATTTTAGATTCAATGTGCGCAAAGTTTGATACAGTAGATCAAGGCTAACTGTATAACGCACATTATTTTAAATAATTATTAAAAAAGTTGCGTGCGCTTTGCGCACAGCATTATATTTTTTTTGTGCGCAAAAAATTTTCTATGTGCGGAGCACACGTGCGCACGTCGAATTTTATTCACTGATTAGAGGTATATGGACTAATACAAAACACAATAACTAATGAATATTTGATGGTATTTCAATAGGCAAATAAAGGAAATTTTTTAATATCGAAATTTCAAATAACTAAATTGGCAGATTAAATTACGCAATTTGCTGATATATCCAAAGAATTGGGATTTGTTCATTTCGATCTTCATAGTAGCAACAATTATATTGTCAACCTACTGGTGGGTATCCAAATTTGAAACCTTACAAAGAAAATTTTGATGTTTATGTATGTTGCACCGGCTGAAGTGTCAACCGGACAAAGCCTTTTGATGGAATTCCATTTGATCTTAGTCTTGCAATAAGAATTTATAACGGAGAACGACCAGAATTTGCTCCCGAACCCGATTGCTATGTTGAATTAGTAAAAAGATGCATGGATTCAAATTCATTGGAGCGACCTACTGCTAACGAAGTTTATTCTATGATCACAAATTGGATCGTTGATAACGCAATCAAAAAAACAGGTCTTACAAGCAGATGAAATAATCAAAACATTAACAGTCGATTCATCAAAACATCCATATTCTATGTATACCAGCAAATTAATAAAACAACAGAGGCGATTAAATCTCAATATGTATATGTATCCACAGTCTAACAAAATTGAATTATAATAGATATATAAGGTATTATACAGCATATCTGCAATCGAACTCTAAATTAACGTTAACAACTATATATATGTTTAATGACTATAAGATTTTTGTATTCAGGTTACTGTATTTCCGAATCTGTTCGAGCCGATCTTTAGCAGATAAATCTGCAATATTTTGGTATATCCTTCTGAGCTGCCACTTTGCCCATTTTTTATAAAAAGGAACAACCATTTTTGTATGTACACTTGACCTTCATTAGTATATTACCTAATGATATGAAATTACATCTGGGTCCTCATTTTGTTAATAAGTTCTTTGAAAAGAAGATTGTTATTAAAATTTTCAAAGACTTTAACAAAGGAACATTAGTAAACATTGCAGCTTATATTTTCACAGCGACATCAATCATGGCATTTCTTGACTTCCTTAGAATTCGATTATATCGCATTTTATGAAAATTTTTATGGAATAACTTTTCTGCTCGAATTGGCTGTGTATATTACTATCACATGACAATTTTCACTTTTACTTCCGATACAATATAAAATAAGCTTTAACATTATTAATCGATTTTTCATCTATAGATATAATGTCAGAATTTCTTTGCATTCAACAAATATATGTAAAAAGCAAATTAGAATGGAATTTTTAATTATTTGAATAATTAAATTATAGTACAGTATTATAAATTTTTATTTTCAATAATTCTATATAAATCAACTTCAACTTTCATCACTGCTTGTTGCACATCATGCATTGTAGCATTAACCATTTTTGATGCAAAAACTAATATTCTTTCATAATCTTCATGAAAACTACCAGTTAACTCAACATGTTTAAAGAAAGCTGACTCGGTGCGATTCTGAAACATTTGATACGCGGCATACTTTTCACCAAATGTAAGATTCGGCTTATCATTATCATTCTCAGGATTTCTATACAAAAATGTCGAATATCTATTACGTAAATGTTTCATTGGATCTTTTGAAAACGAACAAGATTTTGAAGTTGATGAATGTTTGCCTGGAACTTCAACACAGAAATTCAATTCTTGAATTTCTTTTTCAATTGGTTCAATAAAATCATTGATGTTGTTTTCTAAATTTTTGATAATTTTTTTGTCACGTTCTTTCTCTTTTTGCATCAAATAAACCTCTCGCACTGTATAAGTAGATCTAGTTACATCATCAAGATCGTTTTTTAATTTGTCTTTTAATTTGTCATTGTGCATTTTATCTTCAATTATTGGTACGATAGTCTCCGAAAGTTCGCGAAACGGCTTAGATAATTGTTCCATTTCTTAGTATAGTTTATTAAATTATATAAGTTATTGAAATTCTAAAAATAAGAAAAAAAAAAAAACAAAGAATCACCTTCAATCCGTTTTGCACGGTTTATGTAGGCAGTATTCTGTGTATCCTTAGGCGTTTGTGGCCATCGATTTTTTCCGACCAATGTATCAGAACAATGCTTTATATATTTATCTGGATTGCTATCAATCCATTCTTTCAAATCACTTTTATGAATAATTGATTAGAACAAGTTATTTAATGCATCATCATAATAAGGAATGAAATGATTTACTAAAAAACCATAGTGCAAACCTCAGATCCAAAGGAATTTCTTTTGAGAAAAGTTTTTCTTGTCTTTCACTCAATTTTTTTATCCAATCTTCAAATTTAGGAAAGTATCGAAAGAATTCATCTTTATCATTTGGCACCCTATATAAATAAAATTTCTATTAATTTAAGTGGCGAATTTTGAAATTTCAATAAATGAACAAGAAAAGTGATATCAGTTATTGTGAAACCTTTTCTGTCCATCCAATCCATAGACCATTTTAATTATCACGATTATCACGGCTAACAATGAAAGAGAAGGATTTCGATTTATTTCTAGATTCAAATTGATCAATTGCGCTAATTCCTTGGAGATAACATATGTTTCAACTAGATAAAACTAAAAGTCAGAATGTTATCTTTGGTAGTTTTGGGTATTATATAAATAAATTACCTGGTAACATAAAATCTCTGATGAATCGATAAAGTATAGGTGGAGCATTAATTTCAGGAAAAGTTATTCCGTAAAAATTTTTATAAAATGCGATAAAATCGAATTCTAAGGAAGTCAAGAAATGCCATGATTGATGTCGCTGTGAAAATATAAGCTGCAATGTTTACTAAAGATGTTCCTTGTGTTAAAGTCTTTGAAAATTTTAATAACAACCTCTTTTTCAAAGAACTTCTTAACAAAATGAGGACCCAGATGTAATTTCATATCATTAGGTAATTCTTGACGAATTACTAAATCTGATAAACGACCGGTAGAAGCCCAACTAAAAAGAAAAATCATTACAAAGAATAATGAAGATTGCGGATTGTAAAAATTTTATTCTACAAACTTACCGAACAATATCACCTTTTATTATAGGGATTCTTAACCAAACACATCCAAGATATATTATAACCAACACAAAGCTTAAACTCATATTTGATAAACGACATGGTAAAGCACTATACTTCATGCTTTTTGCCTGACTATTAAAGTCAGAAAATTCATTACCACTACTTCTTTGTTGACTACCACCCTTACCATCGGAATCGGAATCAGAGTCTTGTGGAATATCGATTAGGAATTCTAAATTATCATCATTATCATATTCTTGTAGTGCTGATGAAGAACCCTCAGGAGCGACATGATTAATACGCGTCACATCAAGATCTAATTCACATAGTTTGTTTACATATAGAATCCATAGATGTTGAACTACTTGCTATTTGAAAACAACCTTTAACCGGTGTCACATGTACCATGATGCTTGAAAAATAATGAAGACAAACCTCGATCTGTGGTACAAATCCCATCTCATTTATTAAAACATGTAATTGTCTCCTCAGTACCCATTGAGCTACGGTTAAAAGTACTTGAGCGTATTCAGTGCGATTTTGGAATGCATAGTATTCATCTTTAATTGATAATTTGAAAAATTAATTGAAAATCATGAAAAATTCTTTTATTAAAGTTTCATTTTAACTTACTTGACGCCTTTTTAGAGCGACTACGTCGCTTTTTGCTTGTAACCGAAGCAGTTTCTATCTCACTCTCTTGCTCTTGAAAGCCCTTTTTAAGCGAGGTTTAAACAAACGAGTCATAAATAGGTATTTTACAATGGTGCGAACGAATGGGCTATTTAATTTTAATAATATTTATATACACAAAATACCTCTCTTTGGTGCCCAAACTGACAAACCAATCCACCCAACCCGTCACTATACCATTTTCGACTTTTACAAATAGGGCAAGCTCGCATTTTTTTTTAAATCGTGATTATATAACGATAATTATCGTTATCTTTATATATCGAAATATATGTGGAATCTCGATTGATGATCAGCCAATTAGAGAAGCGATCTGCAAATTCTAAATCTGAAAATCTACAAGAAGTTTAACCAATCAAATTTAATTAAAAACATGTGACAACTTTTTACGTTACACATATCTGGTAATTTGATTGGTCGGGACTTGCGTGTTTTACTTTTGTCCAATCAAATCTCGAGAAGAAATAGAATTTACCACTATTGTTTCATAGAAACTAGTTATATTTATGCCAGCACCCTTAGGATGCTGTACATTTTACTGTATCTTGTCAAACTTGTTCCAAAAAGAGGGATCTAAATAACGAATGTTTATTTTAAAAAAATACAAAACTCTAGTTTTTCCTATAAATATAACATGTAATCGGTAAAGAAATGCTGCACTAGAACTGATACGTAACGTACCAGTACAAATTATACCAGGTGAGTGAAAAGTCCCTAAACAGGTCCCTTTTTTATTATCTCTGCTAATACTTAATTTTAAATAAAATACGTATATATATGAATATTGCAATGAATATTGCAATGAATACTAATTATAAACATCATAATGATAATCTTAGTGATTAGGGCCCTGTTTAGAGACTTTTCACCCACCTGGTACAGTACAATACAATTGAATCTTGCTAATTATCAACCTCTCATTAATAAAAAATTGAGTTCAGGCTATATATATAAATAATTATCTCCTTGTTATTAACCCTCAAATAGCAACATAATTATTTAATTCAAATAGATTGATACTAATGAGGGTCAAGTGTAAATACAAAAAAAAATGTTTGAATAAATATTTGTATAATATTTATATAAAATACAAAAAAATATAAGCTAATACTAAAGTTGATATAAATTTAAAAAATTAAAAAGACTAAAACTTATTTAAATTTTTAAATAAAAAAATCCTTTTTATAAAATGGGTAAAGTGGCGGCTCAGAAGGATATACCAAAATATTATCTAATAATTCAGATTTATCTGCTAAAGATCGGCCCGAACAAATTCGGAAATAACATGAATATAAAATCTTAGTCATTAAACATATAGTCGTTTACGTTAACTTTGTATTCTTGTATTTTAGATTGTGGATACTCATATATCTAGTATAATTCAATTTTGTTAGACTGTGGATACATATATTGAGATTTGATCGCCTCTGTTATTTCTCTTGTTTATTAATTTGCTGGTATACATAGAATCTGGATGTTTTGATGAATCAACTGTTAATGTTTTGATTATTTCATCTGCTTGTAAGAATTGTTTTTTTGATTTCATCATCAATGATCCAATTTTTTTTTTGTGATCATAGAATAAATTTCGTTAGCAGTATGTCGTTCCAATGGATTTGGATCCATGCATCTTTTTGCTAATTTAGCATAGCAATCAGGGGTTCTAGGAGCAAAATCTGGCCGTTCTCCGTTACAAATTCTTATTACAAGATTAAGATCAAATGGAATTCCATCAAAAGGCCTTTGTCCGGTTGATACTTCAGCCATGATGACTCCAAAACCGTATATATTGGCTGCTTGTGTAAAATTTCCGTCTTTTAAAACCTCTGGTGCGACATAGGGCAAGACTCCATAAACACCAAAATTTTTCTCATCAAATTTCCTGAATAATCCTAGATCTGCGATGTAAGATTTCAAATTTAGATATCCGCCAGTAAATCCCGCTTTATGGACTTGCGCTAATTCTTTGGATATACCAGCAAGTTGCGTTAATTTAATCTGCCAATTTAGTTCTTTGAAATTGGATTTTAAAAAACTACGAAGATTTCCTTTATTTGCATATTGAAATATTCATTGGTTATTGTATTTTGTGTTAGTCCATATACCTCTGTCGCGGGTTAATCTATGACTTTTGTCCTAGACCAAACGGCGAGCACTTAATCGCTTTGCTATAACCGATTTTAAGGTTTATACTAAGGCAAGCATTTTTATTACTCAAGTGAACTTTATTAATTAAGAGAGAGACTAATAATAACTAACTAACTCCTCTAACTACTATTACATTCGCCTTACTTATACATACTTCGGGTCACATTTCTTACATCATAATTTGTTCATACGATCGTTTGACTCTTATATTACTACATAAATTTACTACCTTACTTCGGCATAATATTACATAATGCCAACGGTTGCATAATTGATCATTATTTGATCCCCTAATTCCCGATCAATCGCAAAAGTTACGTTTTTGGTAGATCTGCGGTTACTTTTTTGGTAGGTCTGATTTACCCCCTAAATTGAGGTGGCGTTCTTGATGCATCATATTTACATAAAATTTAATTTTTTCAAAGGTTTAAGCAAAGATA